AAAAACAGTGTAAGGAAATTGAGGAATGTTTGGAGAAGAACAACAGCAAACACGCATTCCAAACAGTAAAGGAACTAACAAAACCAAGACAAGCACGAGTTAGCATCATCCAACACAAAGCTGGGAACTGCCTTGCAGGGGAAGAGGACATCTTAAAACGATGGAGTGAGAACTGTTCACACCTTTATAACCACCAATCCAATGGTGACCCCAATGTAACTTCCTGCCATGAATCGACAAACAACGATGACTTTCCAATCTAAAGAGAAAAAGTAGAGACAGCCATTAGATCACTGAAAAACCGAAAAGCAGAAGGAGTTGACGACATAACTGCAGAACTGATCTAACATGGAGGAGAGACAGTGGTGGACATCATCACTAGTATCTGCAATAAAATCTGTAAGACAGGTGAATGACCCTGGACGCAATCTCTTATCATCACTTTCCCCACGAGAGGCAATCTACAGATATGCCAAAACTATCGAACTATAAGCCTGATAAGCCATGCAAGCAAAGTGATGCTGAAAGTTATACTGAGACGTCAGACAGAAGTAAAAATTGCTGAAGAGCAAGCCGGGTTCTGGCATGGAAGAAGTATAACAGAACAGATATTCAATCTCAAAGTTCTGTGCGAGAAACACAGCAACACCTGCAAGACATCTTCCGTGTGTTCATTGCTTTCAAAAAGACCTGTTATCGCGTGTGGCATGATGTATTTTTGAGCAACAATGAAGAAATACAACATGGGCCAAAAGCTGATAGAGTCGATCCAACAGCTATACAAAGAAGCCACCAGTGCAGTCCTCGCCCAAAGGAAAACAGGAGAATGGTTCCACACTACTGTCAGTGAACGCCAAGGTTGCTTGCTATCACCTACCCTGTTCAACATCTCACGAAATATGACTGATGCCCTTGAAAATCACACGAGCACAGTCAGCAACGGAGGACGAATAGTTACCAACCTAAGGTTTGCCTAAGAAAGATATTGAAGGACTGGCAGGAAATGAAGAAGAACACGCCAGATTTATGACCGCATTTTATTCCTCACACCAATCTGCGACCTAAGTGTTGAGTGTTGTATTGGGTTCATCCAGTCACTCAGAAGAAGCCCTTTCTCAACCCTTCGCAAGATGCTCTGGGAGCCTGTGAGAATAATGAGATGGGTAGTTCTTGGTCTTGTATTTTGAAGCCAGCCAAGCGCTCTTGTTACAGCCTCAATCTCCATTTTCATGCTTGAAGTTGTTCTTTCTATGGCCCCTGACATGCTATGAACCTTTTTGTTTCCACTGTACACCACAAAGCCCCATCCACTTCTCTCGCCCCTCCTGACAGATTCATCCATGTCGTATTTCATTGTCGTTAATGACAGCAGCATTCCCGTCTTTCACGACCCATAGTGATGTGAACGTTGGCCAGGCTTGTGCAATCGGGGTTCAGTTCAAACCATTCCTTTCCACAGCATATTTTATCGATCCCACAAACTTTCCTCAAGGAGTCTTCGGTTTCTGCCATCCATGAACTGCGCCGATTGATCCTGTTTCCTTTGGTGCTGCTTAGTTTGTCTTGCAAAGGGTGCCTCGGGTCTCCCAAAACATTCAAGTACAGCTTTGCCTGTGCCACCTTATGCCTCACTCTGATGCTGGTCAGGTCGAGGATGTATCTCATACAGACAACATGGGTGTACTTTTTGCAACCTACAACGACCCTCATAGCTGCATTCTGTACTCTCTCCAACCTGCCTATCTGAGTCTTGGACTGGGAGAGGATACCCAGACCATAGTCTATGACTGACAGGACCGCCAGCTGCAATAGGAGGAAAAAAACTCTCTGTTGTTGACCATCACTACATTGATGCCCTTCTGAGCCCTGGTAGCAACATTGTCAATATGTCTTCGGAAAGAAAGTGTCCTGTCTAGGGTGATTTCCAGGTACTTCAACTTGTGCCGTCTGTCTATGAGAAAGTGGTCTAACACAATTGGAGGTGTAGGGTTTTTCACAATACGGTTCTTGAGTGAGCACCTGATGACCTGTGTTTTGTCTGGATTTATGACCGCATTTTATTCCTCACACCAATCTGCGACCTTGCTCAGCCTGTCCTGTAGCATCCATCCAACCGCTAGCTTATCACGACCTTGTCCGTAGACCATCACATTATCTGCAAATGTTAGGATTCTTCCTGTTTCACTTACACCGATCCTGGCAATTTTGGATGAATATATGTTGAACAGAACCGGTGATAAGGCTGATTCTTGTGGCAGTCCTGAGGCAATCACTACTGGGTCTGACATCCATCGTCCACTTCTTAGCGCCACCTTCCTCTCAAACAGAGCCTCGGAGATCCATTGTATCAACCAGGGGTCAACATCCATTTCCATCAGGAGATCAATGAGCTTACCGTAATCAACTCAGTTGTAAGCATCCTCTAGGTCTATAGCAGCCATTGCTGTCTCCTCCTTTCTCTGGAACCCTTCAAATACATCATAGGCTAACACAGCCGTGTTTGTGCTGGTGTCTTTCCCTGGTCTGTAGCTTACAGGGCCGTCTGGAAGGAGTTTTTTCCTCTCTAGGTAATTTGCCAGTGTTTTGGTCACAATCTTTTCCAGGATCTTTCCTTACGTAATCTGCATGATGATGATTCTGTATACCTTGATGTAGGAATGGTCTTTGCCTGGTTTAGGAAGAGGCATGAGGTAGCTGTGCAGCCACTCCTGTAGGATCTTGCCTTTGGCCAGACTCTCGTTGAAGTCCTCCACCATGCCCTGTAGATCTTTTTCATCTGCATCCTTAAAATGGCTGTATCTCACCCCATCAGGCCCTGCTGCACTATCTTTCGTTCCGCTTATTACCCGCTTCACTTCCTGTATTGTGACACCCTCTCCATACAGCACCTCTGGCACAGCAGTTTTCATAATTGCCCTGATGTTAGCGCGCTCCTCCATGTTTCCTTGGTGAGTCTGCTTGATGTACCTCTCAAGGAAAGCCCGGCCTTTTGCTTCATCTGTCTCCAGTAGCCTATCGTTCTCATCTTTAACAGACAGAGAGCCAGCGTCAGTCCTTAATCCCTTCATTTTTCTGTGCAATTTCCAAAACCTGTGTAGTGCCTTCTCTGATGACACCTCGGTCATATACTGCTCCCACCGTTCCTGCTTGGCCTCATTTGCACCCTCCCTGAAAAGCCGCCTGTCTCTTTTCATCCGCTCTCTGAGAGTATTCTTCTCCTCGTCTGATACCTTATCCGATTTCCTCGCCCTATGCCATGTTCTTATTGTCCTTCTCTTCTGTAGCCACAGCTCTTCAAGCACAGGATTCAAATAAGGCGGATTAACAAAGTTTGACCAGTTCAAGTATCTTGGTGCTATCATCCCCCAAGAAGGATCCCAGCCAGAAGTCCATGCAAGAATTGCGCAAACGACAGGGGCGCTTACAAAACTAAGTCTAATATGGAAAGATCGAAACATCTCCGTCAATTCCAAAATCAGACTACTCTGTGCCCTCGTCATCTCCATCCTTCTTTGTATGGTTGCGAATCATGGACCTTGACGGCGCAGCTTCAGAGGACGATCCGCGCAGCCGGAATGAGATGCTTTAGACGACTCTTTGGTATCTCACACAATGACCACGTCACAAATGAGGAAGTGCGCAGTAGAGTGAAATAACACATGACTCACTATTTTAATTTAGACTTGCTGTATACTGCGAAGCGAAGAAAAATGAATTGGTAAGGTCATGTAACAAAATCGTGTGTCCTATCCCAGACCATTCTTCAGGGAACTGTGAACGGGAGGAGAAAAAGAGGAAGGCAAAGAAAGAGGTGGAGCGATAACATTGTGGAATGGACAGGAAAATCCTTCGTCCAAACCAAGGCGCTCACGAAAAAAACCCAGGAAAAAGTGGAGACATACTACAACGAGGCTCTCTATCACACGGCGCCCTTACGATTCTCGTACATTATGGGATCAGTAAGTAGTAAGCAGTAAGCAGGGAGCACAATAAAAAATCTCCTTATTCAGGAATCGAACTCGGGTCTTCTGCATACGACAGTGGAGCACCTACTGATACACCATGATGATGATGATGATGATGATGATGATGATGATGATGATGATGATGATGATGATGATGACTTAGTTCCGGGTGTTATGCTTTAAAACTACAATAATATAGATCTGATTAGTATAATCATAAAAGAAATATTTGAAAACAGCGTTTATGGTCTAGTGGTTAGGTGTTTTACGGTTGCTCGCAGAACACATAAGTTCGATTCTTGTGAGGGGAGGTTGTTGTTTTCTATAGAGACTTTTCCTTCCTCATCCGAGTCTGAGAGAATGAGTGGGGGGGGGGAGGGGGGATTTCCCCTGTTTTAACCCATAATTTGATATTTTGCAGTTAGGTTTGACATCTTCTTAAAAATAATTGATTTGCGACAGTTTTAGTAGCTAAAAGTGTGATCTGCAGAAAACAATATGCAGTTTGACCCCCCAAAGCAGCGCATCTGTGCCCGGGACTGAGTCTCCGAATAGTTCCTGGGTGCTAGCCGGAGACGTCTCCGAATATCGTCTGCCGTTCTATGTAGTACTGTATAGCGATCGCGACTATTTCTGTTAAAGTACTATTGTAAACCAAAGTAGATTAGGAAAAGTAAAAGTGTTGTCTTTTCCAGTCATATAATTTGTGAG